TGGTAGCACCACTCCGGATACCTGACGAAGGTTCCCATTTGGCATTTATTGTGTCTGGGGTAATTGTTCAATCTAAATCCAGATTTGAAGTGAGGTGAAATGTGTGTTATGTTATATACACGTGACAGCCCAGCAAGAGATGAATGATCAGTTGATTTACTTTTTTTGTAAATCAGCGGATCGTTCGTAGGCATCAAAGGATTAACAGAAAATACTTTGATTGATTAATCACTGTTATCTTGCATGGTGGATATGTCAAAAGTGAGTGTTTACATGTCTAGGTTTACTAAAACAAAGGGAATACACTCATATCCTTGCGTGAAGTGCCGATGTAAAAATAACATACTTTGTTCAAAGGGTTAACAGATAATACGTTGATTAATTGCTCATTGTTATCTAACTCAATTAATTTTTTTAGGACCCGTGGACATTATGAAAATAGTTGTCACGTGGGCTTTCTCAGCCGACCTTTGAGACATGACACCTATGTGAAACACCTGAAACAATCTAAGTGATCAGTTGAGAAACGAACACGGGTTATAATATCCCGAAACGATATATATTTTAAAATATTTGATTGTTACAGAGACATGTGACATCGAATACGTTTCTATGTACAGCTGCAGACGTTTGGGATATTGTTCCTTCGTGTGGATATTCACGGACACATTCCTTGAACAAGGAAGCTGCCTAAAATTATACACATAAATTTGTAAGGTTGTAATTATGATGTTCGCATTTTGTTTTCCTTCATTTGCAGTAGTATTGGACAGATTCAATCTTGTTCCTCTACGTCATGGTTGGGAAATTCTTCGATGCGCGATAGACGTTGTTTTCACAAGTCTAATTTTTTTTGTAAGCGTGTATATGTTACAGTAAATTTGTAAAATGTGATTCTCTCAGGCAATTTATAAAAATGTGTAAATATTTCAGTCATTTTGACTGAAAAATCTGTCCATTTCTTCAACAGATTGACCAAAATTGATTAGGACGATCAATAGGGCCTAAAAACATCACAATAGATTATTAAGTAGGATTAGAAACCAAACAATATAGAAATGTACTTTTCAGCGTAATATTTTCAGTCTCTTGGTGATGATATTAAACATAAAAGCGTTTGGAATTGGTTGTCATAATAATACAGTTGGACATATTTTTCAGTCAAATTGTAAAATAACTGAATATTCAGGCGTTTAATCAATTCCCTAAGTGATAATTTTGCACATTTTGACTGTAAAAATATAAACACGATAAAATAAGCAATGCTCAGGAGAAATATTTACATTGTGTTGCAAGTCAAAATAGTGTACACGAAAATCGCACAATTACCAAGCAAGTGACTTATCAAAACTTCGTCACCATTACCGAAGCTACCCACAAAGATGCGTAAATTTCCTTATTATCTCCAAAACTGTATTTCATTTTGTTGTTCAATGTGACCATACGCCTTTATACTATCAATAAAAGTGACAAATGCGCTTACGAATTGCGCCTCACAGGTTGCGAACTAGTCTAGGTTTCTGCTATATCAGCTGGGTAGTCACGGGAAAAAACAATAACAAAGGCAACAAGCAGTCCCGGGGAATTGCTTTAGATCAGCAACCCTTTAACAGAGTGTGCACCAGCGTACAGAATACATAGACCATGGTTAACTCCACTCAGACGCCAATCTTTACTCGTAGAAACATTAAATTCCTGACAAATACACTCATATGCCCACCTATTGTACGGATTATTTGAGGAATTCCATGCTCGATCCTGCGGTAATGGAGCACTAATTTCTTTAAGTAAACGTCTAATCTGATAGTACACATGAAATGATAAAACAGACTTATTTAGTTCAAATCCGGGGGCATAAAGAGATACACCACATCCTGTTGTTGCACACCATATGGCAAAGTTTAACTGGTTTTGCCAAAATTGCACTGGATTGTGGAACCAATCATGCACCATTTTATCGCTAGTTGCCGTGACCCTGTATTTTTCAAAGATAACAGGGAATTTAACAAAAAACTTCGCACCAGAGGCTCTTACTAAAATAGACTGATTTGCAATGTAAGTTGATTTCATATTTAAGTTATGATATTGTATCTTTGTATATTTAATATGTATGATACACTCCCGGGAATAACGAATGGCCAGTCTATTCAACTGCTTCATACTATCGATAACTCGGCTGGGCAACTTGAAGTCGCTCTCTGCGATGTAACGTATTACCCAAGGTGGACCAATGTAAGTTTTGCGAGAAGAAATAATGAGTTATTACTAATTGAAACCAATAGTAGAATCAAACCCATCATTATACCTGATGGGTATTACAGCGTATGCTCACTCAATGATGAAATTTTCTAAGCCTTTGGGAGCTAGTCTCACACAAAATGAGTCGAATGGGATGCTGATTTTAAACACTAGAGAAAAGGATGAAATTCTTATCCCGAACATAGCAGCTACACTTGGGTTTAGAAGAGGAAAAGTATCACCCATGAAAAATTGCATGGAATTAAGTTACCCGATATAGTTCCCTATAAAGAGTTGTGCATCCATCTTGATCAGATCAGTACAACGGATAATATTCAACTCGAAAGTCCTTCAACAGAGCTATTCCAGTCAAAGATGGAAAATATAATAGCGGTAGAACAGAATCTTTCTCATCATTACAATATAAAAAGTTAAAGCGGGGTATTATTTCTGTCGTCCAGCATTAAAAAATGTTATTTCAAATTTGGTTACTGAATTCTATGATATAAAACATAGCATTCAGCTATACCTGATCTTTCTACACTTATTATTGAAGTCTTGTTTGGGGATGTACCAGAAGATGCCTTCGAGTTATTACCAGGCCTATCAATTAAATGGCTCAAGAAACATGAGCTTCAACGTTGTAGTATTATTTATATGGGAGTATCACCCGTTGCAACCCTTGAGGGGGTCCAAGTTAATAAAGGTGAAAGCATTTCACTTACTAAGATATTTATGCCGTATAATATACATTTAATAATGTTGATGTATACTCTCAAAACATTTAAGCAAGATCAATTAAAGACTATCATATGATATAATAATATACATTATGGGTTTATATCTGATGCTCGATGAAGTATCTGAAAAGATGGATACTGTTATGGATTTCAATTACATCAAATAAGCGACATAAAACATCGAATAGAGAAGGAGAGGGAGAGGGAGATGAGATTGGATCGTATAAAAAGTATCGCAGAGCTGTGAATGCTCTCAAAGGAGTTGACACTGCGCTTGTAACAGCTGGCATGGGACTTGGCGTAGCCGGTGTTGGTTTATTATCAACTATAATCGCCGCGCCTATCGTACTTGGTATGGAAGTAGCAGCCGGAGTCTCAGGACTGGCAGGAATAGCGATAAAATTTATTTCTCATAAGTTGCAAAAGCAAGCATTAAAACATGATAATATTCGGATCCTCGCCGAAGCAAAGTTGAACAGCATTGAGGATCATATTTCAACAGCACTGGCTGATTGTAAGATATCCGAGGAGGAGTTTCGGAACTTTTGCAATCAACCGTTAATGATTATTACGATGTCTTAATAGAAGGCAAAAACATGTTACTCCCATTGGCCGTGACAATTCCAAGTTTACAATAGATAGTAAAAGAATATTGTGGCTGCCTGGCTCTCCTGATACTGATCTTAGGAATTCTCACACTCTGCACAGCGAATCACGGCACCTTAGACGACTGGGCCACCTGTGCCCCCGTACAGTTTTAGAGAATTACGAGGTCTTGACAAGGCAATGCAAACGATGCGGGGATCACTCATGAATAATATAGCCAAGATGGATGAACTCGACATGCATATACGTAGCTTATGAGAAAACAAAACTTACACAGGCAGATGATGAATTCAGTAGCCGCCATGTTGCAGAAAGATTCCGTAACTTAGAAGACGAAAGATCAGCCCACTTGGAAGCAGCTTCCACTATAGTCTGGAAGTTAATTTAAGGTACTGACGTTTACTACAATATCTGAAAAACTATTGGACCTACTCCAGTCAAAGCTTGTATAAGATTATTAAACAGTCATACATAACTGGATATTACATTTAAAGACAATCGGTGCATGAATAAAAAATCTGTCTATTTAGCTATCACTATATTTCATCAACAACCAGACCTGTTCGTCACGGGTGGAACGAGCATTCATTGTTACAGCCATCTGCATCATGCTACCCTTGCGTCACAGGGCCATATGACACAGTTGAACCAATCAACTCAACTCGAAAGGTTGCACGGGAATCACGCACGCACGAATACGGTGTTAGCGTTGTGCGTCTCAAGCAGTTATTAAATAATATTTATCCAATTATTTTTGCATTCTTTTTCAGGTCAGTGTTATTGACTTGACTGTATCATTCCTTGCCATATTATTATATTTCCTGCATCATGTTATTAAGTGTAATATATCATACGTAATTATTCATTTAGACAAATTATTATTTTATGGTTTCGAAGAAAATATTTTAATATTTTCGTAGATGATTCGAGACTTTCGGGGCTGTTTCGGGTGAAAGGGAATCAAATTCTGAGCCAAGAATTGCACAAAGTGGACAAGATCCAATTACATCATGTACTACAAAGCACGAACCTGAAATTCGTAGACGATTCCTAGAAATTCTTTGATAAAGAAATTTTTTCTAACAAATCCCACGAACTACAAGAATGTTTGGGAATCAAATAAGATATATTTAAGATTCTAAAGAAATGATTCAGAATATGTACGAATATGTAAGAATTCATATCTTTGGTAATTCGGGCTATCACATGTCGTAGTGAAACAGGTATATGTATTGCACTATTCTTGGTCCCACGAAATGCCCTCGTCGTCGGAGTCTGTGCTGTCACCTAAATGAACAACAACAGGCTGGACAGTATCTGGTCGGAAAAAGTCTTGTTTCCAATACTCTTTCTCAACTTTGATAACATGTTGGACACAGTTTGCCCAACGTACATCTGTAATTTCTCCCATCCCTTTCAAGCGTTGGCAAGCTTGAAGGTCTTATTTTGCCGTGCGACCATATTTTTCAAATCACCCCAGATTAGTTCGATGGGATTCAAGTCATAATGGTAAGGAGGAAGTCTAAGCACTTCGTGACCATGTTCTCTCAACATGTTGTCAATCAAATAAGAGGGCGGGGGTTTGTTCTGAAGTTGGCAGTAGTCAGTCTTTTTGGTTTTCGTGGGCCGAGCAATACGGTTGTTGTCCAACCACTGACATATCTCACCTTTGGTGGAATTTGAGGTTGGACAACAGTTAATAGGATCTCGACAACTGTGATAGGGAGCATTGTCCATAACCGCCAAGAATTTATCAGGCAGTGCTAAGAGGAGCTGCTCCTCAACATACGCAGTGAAAACCTGACTATTCATCTCGGTATGGTAGTCTCTGCCATCTGTAGATCTGGATCTGAACACTAGATCACACCCAGGGAGGAAACCTCTGTGGGAGGATGCATGGAGGACAATCAGGTGCTCCCCTTTACCAGGGGGATCTTGCGCTGTGGCGCTCTGGTATCTGCGTGAGACCGTAAGCCGCTGTGTGGCAGGTGTCCAAATAGACAGGCTCATAGCCTTCTTCTCTTTTCTTTTTAATTGTGTGCAAATAATTGATACGCAATGAATGATATCTGGTCGTTCACACATTGCTAGTTTCGACCCTTTCGTCTTTTTGTACTGATATCCAAATTTGGAAAGGAGTTTACAAATGGTCCATTTGGAAATATCTAAGTCATGCTCTGTAAGGAGAATTTGTTTTAGTTTTAGTGTTGAAATAAATTCATTTTCTCGTGTTAACCGCCGAATCACGTCCCTGACAACTTTCTTATCAAAGGAATCTAACTTTAATTACCTATCCTGTTTTGAGATGCCCCCTAAGGGATGTGCAGGGAAGCATGTGTTTTTATGAGAGTTCAAAATCTTTACTACGGTTTGTTTGGGAAGCTGTAACGCATGAATTGTTCTTTTCATGTACTTTGAAATGTCAAAGAAGGGCGAACGTCTTTAACTTTCAGCCTTAAAGTATTCAAATATTTTAACAACGAAACCTTTCGCATCAGAGGAAAGATGCTTGCGCTGAGACATCATGAAATCTAATGCTAACACCGTATTCGTGCGTGCATGATTCCCGTGCAACCTTTCGAGTTGAATTGATTGGTTCAACTGTGTCATATGGCCCTGTGACGCAGGGGTAGCATTATGCAGATGGCTGTTACAATGAATGCTCATTCCAACCGTGACGAACAGGTCTGGTTGTTGATGAAATATAGTGATAGCTAAATAGACAGATTTTTTATTCATGCACCGATTGTCTTTAAATGTAATATCCAGTTATGTATGACTGTTTAATAATCTCATACCAACTTTGACTGGAGTAGGTCCAATAGTTTTTCAGATATTGTAGTAAACGTTGGTACCTTAAATTAACTTCCAGACTATAATAGAGAAGCACTTAGTTCACAAATCAGTCGAAATAAAGAAACTAATGATCAAGTCCTCAATGATGATACTACACTGGCCGAAAAAATTAAAACATTGTTCAGAGAACAGGGGATAACCATTAGCAGTATTTTAACCCCAATTGGATTTATCATATCAACTTTGGCTCTCGCGTTAACTGAATGTGATGGTACAGGCGGCGGCACACAACCTAGTGATAAGGATGGTGTAAAAGAGTGGATAAAAAAGTATTTAAAAGCATTAGGAGAAGCACTAGCAGAGCTCGCTGGGAAAGCCGCTTCTGCACTTCCTGGTATAATAGGGACTCTTGAATTTATAAGCCAAGACCCCCACTTGGCTTAGTCAAAACTTGTTGTTTGTAGCTGCTAAAGACTATTTATCCAAATCATGAATAAACCCACTGTTACTCCACCTACTATTAGCGCTGTTTTTTCATCATTATGTTGTTGATGAGTTTCATATTACTTGGAGACATGTATTTAGATGCAGCATTCTGTAATACATCTCGATAACGCTTTATAGAAGATGGTATGTCAACTGGTGAAGAAACAGAATCCTCTACATTTGCAACAAACTGATTTTGCGCATCAAGCGCTGTCCTAGAACCAATTATTCCTGTTCATGTTTGCGACTGTGCGCCAAAGATTGCCCATACATAAGTTCTTATTGATTCATTAACTCATACAACTCCTGGGTAAGTAAAAATTTTATCTGTTTTATCATTAAGAAATTCATTCCAAGCATTTGCAGCAGCATTTTGTTGCCCAAACTTTGTAACAACATAAGCTAAACCACTCTAAAAGCTCATAAGATCTCCTCTCCAATGGTTACTTGAAAGTTCCCAGCCATGATTAAGCATATGCATTCTTACAAAAAGATTGTTTTTCTGTAACAACTTAAATTGATTGAATTGTGGATGAGTTTCTGTAACTAAATCATCACTTTCTTCTTTAAAAGTTTTTCTGCCAGTGTACAGGGTACCAAGACCATGGTCAAGTCTTTTAATACGCCAGCCTTAAGAAGTAGAAACATAAAATTCCTGGCAGATATGTTCATATGCCCACCTATTGTATGGATTATTTGATGCATTCCATGCTTGATCTTCTGGTAATGAGGCACTAATTTCTTTAAGTATGCGTCTAATCTGGTAGTAGACATGAAATGATATAACAGACTTATTTAGTTCAAATCCTGGGGATAAAGAGATACACCACATCCTGTTGTGGCACACCATATGGCAAAGTTTAACTGGTTTTGCTGAAATTGTTTTGGATTGTGGAACCAATCATCACTGTTTTATCGCTAGTTGCTGTGACCCTGTATTTTTCAAAGATATCAAGGAAACTAACAAAAATTTTACTAAAATCGACTGGTTTGTAATGTAGGATGGTTGCATATTTAAGTTATAACATAGTTTCTTTGTATATTTAATATGTATGTTACACTCCTGGAAATAACAAATGGTCAGTCTGTTCAACTGCTTCATGCTATGGATAACTCGGCGGGGCAACTTGAAGTTGCTCTCTGCGATATAACATATTACCCACGGTGGACCAATATAATTACTGAGAGGGGTAAGAATAAGTTATAACTAGATGAAGAACGTTGTACTATATCTGATGGGTATTACAGCGTATGCTCGCTTAATGATGAAATTTTTAAGCTAGTCTCACACTAAATGAGTCGAATGGGGTGCTGATTTTAAGCAGTGGAACACATTCTATAAAACTTGACAGGAACTTAGCAAATACACTTGGATTTATAAGAAGAGAAGTGGCACCCAACACAACAGTGCTTGGACTTAAATTACCCGATATAGTTCCCTATCAAGAGTTGTGCATCCATCAGATTAGTACAACGAATAATATTCAATGCAAAAGTCCTTCAACTCTGCTAAGAACTGTTCTAGTCAAAGATGAACAGAATCTTTCGCATCATTGCAGTATAAGAAGTTAAAGCAGGGTATTATTACTGAGCTCAAAATTTCTGTATTAGATGTACAAATAGGATATTATATACGGTATCATAAATAATGGTTGATTCTTCAGGTCCTAATACATTTCAATACATTTGCACTTTCCGATCTTGGAGACCCAGAAGGATTTGATAAACGCGGTATTGAGGGCAAGTTATATGCTTTACACTTGCAAGATAGTGTGTACAAGCGGAAAGAAGTTGTATTCACAGCACCTATTGTCCCAGCACCTAAACTAGCAGATTTGACGTTAGTGGACTCCATAAAAACACTTTAAACAATCTTGTTCACATCGATAAAAATAAATGGGCTATGCTCGAAATAAAAATTGAGTGGCGACTGAATATAGTCATTGCCCACCAAAGATAACGACGGGTAAGTCACACTAAGACGACGAATAGTGGGGTCATACTTGGGGCTTATATCCCCTCAAAATGAAAGAGGGTGTGTCGCTCTCCTGCCAGATGAACCAGGTCATATGTTATTGAGTTGCCCAGCATTAAAAGATCTCAGCTTAAATTTGGTTACTGAATTCAATGATGTATTGAATACACTACACACTACACTTATTATTGAATTCTTGTTTTGGGGATGCGCCAGAAGATGGCTTTGAGATATTACCGGGTCTAAGAATTAAATGGTTTAAAAGACATGAACACCAATGTTGTAGTATTATTATACAGGAAGGAACAGGTCTCATTACAACTCTTGAGGAGATCCAAGTTAGTAGGACGCGCATTTCGCTTACTAAGATATTCATGCCCTATAATATACACCTAACAAGGCTGATGCATACTCTCAAGGCATTGTCAGAAGATCAATTAAACACTCCAATATAATACAATAACATATATTATGGGTTTATATCCAGTGCTCAATGAAGCATCTGAAAAGATGGATACTGTTTATGGATTTCAATTACATCAAATAGTGAGTGAGTATTGGTTTTACGCCGCTTTTTAGCAATATTCCAGCAATATCACGGTGGGGGACACCAGAAATGGGCTTCACACAATGTACCCATGTCGGGAATCAACCCCAGGTCTTCGGCGTGACGAGCGAACGCTTTAACCCCTAGGCTATCCAACCGCCCCACATCAAATAGTGAGTGAAATATAACATCAAATAGAGAAGGAGGGTGATACTAGAATTAGATTATATAAAAAGTATCGCAGAGCTGTGAATGCTCTTGACAGAGTTGACATTGCACTTGTAGCAGCTAGCATGGTGCAGCCGGTGTTGGTTTATTATCAACTATAATTGCCACACCTATCATACTTGGCATGGAAGTAGCAGCCGGAGTCTCTGGACTGGAAGAAATATCTCTTAAATTTATTTCTCGTAAGTTTCAAAAGAAAGCATTAAAAGATGACTGTATTTGTGCATTGGCTGAAGCAAAGTTAACTGGCATTGAGGATCATATTTCTGTTTCGTTTCGTTTAGCGTTGTCAGAACTCACCAAATACAACGCAATGAAGCAGGAGATTCGATCAAATTCTTGTAAGACCAGTGGCATCAGTGAAGACGAGAAAAAAAGTTCCTAGAACAGGGTAGACAACAAGCGCACCAAGTATTCCGTGCCAAAACCAAAGAACTGGTTGGAGATTAAGTATTGTTTCCTTGATAATCATCTTGATCCATGAAGATCATGGGATCGCATCACATAATTTGCAGAAAAAAAGACCACTATAGAAGCTTTGTGGGTGTCTGGATCTGGTCCAGGTGGTAGTGGTCCAGAACTCCCATCATCTATACTACTCTATCTGGTAACAAAAAGTGTTCATTGTACATCTGGACTTATGTTGATATTTTTTTAATTAATTTTATTCAACATTTCACTCAATAATGTTTACATTAATAACAGCAAAATCATGCATCCCTCCGATACTTACATCTTCCATTTACCCCATTCCATAGGATCCACTTTACCATATACTGCAGCAGCAGAAACTCACATTAATCTCAGCAACCACAACTTTAGTTGTCAGATAATGGATACATATATCATAACTGCCAAACTTTGACTCATTAAAATGTGTAGTTAGTGTAGTGTAGTTTGACAATATATATATATATGTTAACATATTGTTCCATACGTGAAAAGTATCCCACAATACACCAAAGTGCTACCACATAACCCTGGTTATGATTATTATTTTAAATGACTATAATAAAACCTGCAATTAAATAACACAATAGTTTAAAATATTATTCCTGGTGAAATAATATCTTCAGATACTTTTTTTTTCTTATCATTGCATCAAAAATTCTATTCAGTAATATTTTGGGGTATTTTTTAACTTAATCACCGGTAGATTGGGAGAAAATCTGTGTACAGCTTATAGCTATTTCCGGCTTAATTTATGAGACAAATACAATCGGTAATCTTGTGCCAAAATCAGAGTCCACGGTATGATTCTGACTACATGTATATCATGAGCAAGTATTATGAATCACTATCAAATAGTGATGATACCAAGTGATCACAAAAAAGTGAGCGTATCCTGTCCTCACATGCAAAGTCAAGTCAGTTGTTCACCTGAAAAAACATTTAGAACATTTTGTACAACTACAAGTATAAATAGGGAATTGCATAACAAGAAATACGATTGAAATGGTTTCTCATTATGTCTTGAGATGTTTAACATTTTCATTGACAATTTCTTTTTACAGCGTTGGTCGTTCATCTGAACAACTGCTACAATAACAAGCGATATGATGTAGGTTTTTTTACCAAATTAGAAAATAGTTTGATGAAAGTGTAACATTTACAAAGGCCGACCCCAATCTACAAACAAATTTAAATTCTGGTAATCAAAGGTCCAGCTTATCTAAGATTAAATACAGTATATGGTGACCAAAAAAGTAAACTAGTTTTCCAACCTATCCAATTTGGTTTTATTACAATGCAGAGAAAGAAGATACTATTTTTTGTGAAATGGCTTTACTTTAGCAATATCTTGAACAAACATGGCAGAACGTTATGCACTCATTACAATTGCTCCATAGTCAGTATAGGTCACTTCTTCAAGACAACAGCGCTCTTCAGTTTGTGCTTTCCTGACAGTTTCTTTCTTAAAAGTTCTCTTTCTAGCTCTAGTTTCTTTTCTTCTTTGGCTTTAATATTTCTCAGTATTTTTTCCCTTAATTCCTTTTCTTGACACATCAGTTCTTCCTGCTTTCTTTTCTTAACTTCAGCTTTCCTCATTTCTTCCTCTAGTTTCCTTTTCCGCTCCATTTCCACCTGCTTCACTCTCTCACATTCTAGTTCTTTTTCCTTCCTCTCCAGATCCTCCTTAAATTTATCCTCCTGTAGAAAAGAAAACATTATATTCATTTACCTCTGACAAATACCTTAAAAGCTCTTTAACCAGAGTTCAGGGCTTCAGCTCACATCTTGTAGATTACATAAAAAAAGCATACTTTTCTGAACATTTTGTGATACCTTTCATTGCATAGCATCATGCTATGGTGCCTTTACTGATAATGATCACTTCAGTCTATTTCAAACAAGAAACTGATGAATAGCAACAATACTGAATAAAACAAATAAACATAATGAAACCAATGCAACAAAAATGTATTTTCCCATACTAACATTCTTGTTACTTCTCCTTTCTCTAAAGAACCTTGTCAATGTTTCCTCTGGCAAAAACCCAAACAATATTATATCCCTTTACCTTTGACACTTCATACTTCATTCTTCATAAATTGTTCTTCTTTGTAATTTATTTAAATTGGCATTGTTTACACTTTCCTCATCTACTGTACTTAGTCCTGTGGACCTGAAGGGAATTGATTGATGGCTTATGATTCAATGTGCTTATCCTCATGTGAAGTGTCCAGTGTATAGCACAGCCTTGACAGGCTCGCACTGACTGAACTTTTGGAGTCATATCAAACAATAACAAGAAGACAAGTCCTTCTATATCGCCCAATCCTTCTTAACCCTTGTGTATATCAAGGAGTGGAGGTTTTCCAGGTTATTTTTATTCAATTACTGTAATATGTTTACGAACTCTAGGAAATTAAACTGAATGTAGTTTCAGAAAGTCAAAATCAAACTGATGGGGAAAATGATGCAGACTAGTGAACTGTTTCATGGGTGAGGATGAACTGGCTAAGGTGACTCCTTCCCCACAAAAGAAGTGACATAGGCCAAACCTTCCCAGGGGTAGAACTGGCCAGGGGAAGGTTACACCTGAAGGCAAGTAGCATTCGAGGATGAGATCCTTTTTAGCCATGTTTTTAGCATACTTTACTTTAGGTCAGGAGAGCCAAAACTGGCTGATGAATGGCCATATATATACTCTCCAAAAAAAGTAGGGAAACAGGGACACATTCTTGCCAATGGTATTTAGAGTGTAGGAACTGGGAGAATCGCTGGTGTTCTGTTGAATGTCTTCAGATGTGTCCAGAGGTATCATGACAGATTTTGGGGTGGGTCTGTAATGATATAAGGCAGGATCACTGACACTGCCATAATGCTATTGCAAAACCCATTTTTAACAAGTCATCTAAACTCATTCATTTTTTTACGACACACACCTGTCTTCTTCATTGGTTGTTTGCACCCTTATAATACACCACCATCATGTTCTGGTGATTGTCATGTTACACCTAATCCTTTCTTTTTCTTATCAAGACAAGCAGGCCAACAAAAAAGCTCATATGACTTTCAGTGAGGTGAGCTAGAAACAAATCATACCTTAATCCTGTTGAAAAGCTCAGTCAACAAATGCAGCGACTCTAGTTTCCTCTTGGCCAGCAGCAATTTGCGTTCCTCCATGGCAATCTTTAGCTTCATGCGCTCCTCTTCCTCACAACGTCTTCTTTTCAAGTGTCTGTCTCGTCTTTGTTCTTCTCTTTCCTTTCTCCTTTCCTCTCTTATCTCCAACTTCTCCTGCTTTCTCCTTTCTCTTTCTCGTTCATCATGGATTTTCTTTTGTCTAAATGAGCAAAACAAGAACAGAAAGTATATATTTATGATGAAGCATTTGTTTTGTGTCCAGAACTAGCTCTCATGGTATAATGACAGCATTAAAAGTCAGCAAAGGTATGTAGCAGATAATGCTAACTATCTCCCACCACTAAGTGGTAGAAGCACATAGGAATGGGTGCTGTCTGTCCGCCCCTTCCGTATCTGCATCCATCCACCACGTTTCATATCCGAAGCATAACTCAGAAACGGTTACCGGTAAATATTTTATTATGAAACTTTGCATATGTATCAAACACTTGCTGAAATGGTGACTTCTGAATGTCTGGTATTTCAAAAACAAACATTTTTTTCTGTTTCCTTGGCAAGAAACCAGACGTAGACTCAAACATGTGCTTAATATCGTTTCTGGAGCATAAGTCGAAAACTGTTTAATATTTTATTATGGAACTGTGCATATGTAACAAACACATGCTGAACTGGTACCTTTCGCTGTTTCCTTGGCAACAAGTTAGCCTTAACCCAAATACAGGTGTAGTGTAGTGTTCTTTTCTGAATCAACCTTTATACAGTGTAGATGCAAGATTTCCTAATGTTTCAAAGTATGAACTGTTAGTGAAATGACATGAAATCAAGTTAAAATTGTTACAATTGATTTAACTTATTATTATCCATGGTGGTCCAATGATTAAGACACTTTATTATTACACTAATGTTCTAAAGTTCAATTTCCACGTAATATTTATCAATTCTAAGATACGTGTATACAATGTTTACATGTTCTCAGTAACTTTCCAATACCTCGTGACCTTAACCTTCATGTACAATGTCAAAGCTCACAGGTCATGTCGCGACCTCTTCAAAGCTCATGCATTTCGAAGCACATGATCACCAGTGTGTATTGGACCTCCATGCTGCCAGCTATATTTGAACTATGTAAAGACACATGTGAGTACCTTTCCCTTTCATTGTTAGGTTTTATGTTTATTTCTGAACACCCTGAAATTGTATATATGCCAAAATATTAATTTAGTGCAAAATTGTTTAGATATTTCACACAACTGTTACATTATATTTGCAAATGTGTGCTTGGTAATTTTTCATAATTTCAATGTAGTCAATGTATTTATTGCTTCATTTGGATGTAATTTCGAATGTGTTAAATACTAGGAAAATTGGTAAATGTTTCTGAATTTACAGAAAGCTATTGTTTATTGTAGTTTTCTGAACCTCATCAACTTGTCGACGCTTCAACTTGTCACCAACTCGTCATCAACTGTCACCAATTGTTCCTAAAGCCATGGCTCTGACTATAAACTGTACTACGTTAAACGTCACGAAATAAACCCTGTTGATGCGAGTGTTAGTTTTGTCGTCTTGCATCCACATACAGTGTTCCCTTGCTATTGCGCTCTTCAATATAGCGCTAACTCAGTTATAGCATGGCTCCCAAAATTTACTAACATAAACTCAAGTTTTCGAATGACACGAAGTTTTCCCCACATCTCAGAAAACATTAGCAGCTGATCACCGGAAATACCAGTCAACAAATCCGAACAGAAGTACGCAATTTAATACTATTATTATAATATCTGGTTGTAAACAAATTGTTCATTGTTTATCTGGACTAATGTTTGCAATATATTTTATTAATTATATTCATGATTTCATTCAATAATTATAATAATGTTTACAATAATTTCTGCGAAATCATATGCGAAGTGATCAGTAGATCACACAATTCACCGTTATTTACAGCAACCACGGTCAGATTACCGCTATTGATGCCTTGAAACAGACTTAAGTTGCAAGAGAATGGATACACATATCATAAATACCTACCATGACTCGCTAAAAGTCATATTTGAGGCAATTTGACTGTTTAATGTCAACATAACGTTTTCGCAAGCGAAATACATGTAGCACGGGAAGTCCCAACGTTGACAGGTCAAACTGTTCCATACAGAAAAAGATATCCTGCATACCATCTGTACCAAAGTGCTATGCTCATGATTCTTATTATTATAAATATATATATCCTGGAAGCTGCAACTAAAATAACACTATATTGGAATATATTATTCCTGATAAAATAATAATTTCAGATACAAAAACTTACGACAAATAAATTGCATCAAAATTCTTTGAAGTTTCATTGGATGTTTTTTAACTGAATCACCGGTAGATTGGGAGGAAACATGTGCACAGCTGATTGCTATTTCCTGCTTAGTTTACGAGAATATACGCACAGAAATCCTAATCTCAGCATATAAAACAATGCCTTGGAGAGCAGGAAATACAATTTGAATGGTACATCATCATGTCTTGTAATGTTCTATGTCAAATTTAATACTTTATTGACCAAGTTTGTTATACCTGTTTATTCACCTGAATTCGCTGAAGGGATACAATGTGTTTTTTTGAAAGCGCATATTAATGCTCAATAAATCTTTTTTTTTACACTATGAATCATAAACAACTTCTATTCTAATCTTTTTTCAAACTCTGAAACGTGCAACGTAGATCGTGTTAGGTAGGCAGAGCATGTATACTATTTTGTTGGTCATCTACCACCCATGACTCATCAATCATTTGGACCCCGAAGGTAGCGTTGTAGCGATGGATCACTGTAACCATATTAACTGAAATTGTCATCCTATTTTGGATTTTTTACAAAAAGATCTAAGCAGGGTTGTCTGAGAACCATTATCATCATTACCTAAAGATGAGATGCACAAGGTATAATGTGAATGGTAAATAAATACACAAACCAGACTACTTTCTCTCAGTGGGTTTAACAAATTATTTAGAGCTCGCAATCAGGCCATTCACAAAAGATTCCAGTGAACTTGTCAAGATTGATGCCTTAATGTTTTTGTTCAGGAGTTACCCTCCCTCTCCATGCATATTAAATACTACATGAGCAAATCAAATTCTAGTGTGCCCCATGGCAGGGGATAATGATAACACTGTTTCCTTCTTGTAGTTGTCTTCATCATTATTCTCATTACAGGTATCCAATGTGTCTGTTAGCTCTCAAAAGAATTTGGATGTAACCATATCCCAGTATCATAATAACAGCTGAATAATAATTATAATAGTCATGGATAATGTATCCCATATCCATAAATTCCAGAAATGAATAATGTTTGAATCTTAAAAAACACTATATTACAGAACATTTACATCATAATCCAGAGTACCGCACAGTACAGAAGCTCAGCTGTATTCATAGGTGTAAAAATTATAGAGCAAGTACACTGAGCATAGCAACTTTGCAAATTTTAATATTTTAGGGCAGGCTTTTAAAAACTAGGCTAAATCGTCAGCCAAACAAAACAATTCACCACTGTGGTTAAAGCATAGAAAATGTGTTTCATGCTGCACAATTTCTACAATCAGGCCTGGGCCCAGCCTGCCAGCCTCGCCTCAGAATTTTTAATTGCGATTTCCCGCTTTCCTGTCTTCTCATCCAGGCATTTCATTGTGGAATAGCAGCACCTGAGGTGATTCGAGCACTAACAGTTTGATGTATGTCAAGCAAGCGAGCGTTCCCGTGTTTTTTCAGGACTGGCCTTTGCATTTGTTTGTGATGGGTGCCAACAGAAAGGCAGGTTAAGCTCACCTTTTTGCAAACATATGGTATCATCGCAACTAATAGTGATACATTGAATTATATAGTTGGATTCGTACTACAGACTCAGTAGATATGATATATCTTGTCATTATCGAAATTTAAAAATAAGCAGATTCATTGTCAAAAGAGTGATTAAGAGCAGGCGTGAGTACACACATGTGAATTCAAAAATAAATGAACAGACAGACTGATTGCAGTAAGGCTCATTGACAAAGATAAACCAACTAGTTCAAAGATTTATTATTCACTAAGCAATAACAGCTAAGCATAAGCATTGAGGATTTAACCCTCTGGATGCCATTTGGACATATATACACAAAATGCAGTTGCTGTGCCAGGGGGACATGTGTCCTTCTAAAACATGTTAAAAGAATTGAAACTAATTCGGGGGGGGATTACCCCAAACATTGCAATAAATTGCAAAAAATAGTAAATTTCCAACACATTTGTGTCATTTCTACAATTCTACTGTCAGTAAATAATGCATATGGAGTTAGTCAAATTCCCCTTCTTTACACTTTCACCCAAATGTGCCACCATTGAAATTTTTTCAGTTTGAACAAATTGCACCAACTGATTACACATGTAAAGGAATGTTTGAAACCTTAAAAAATATTGGTTAAAATTTTAAAAAGGACAAAAAATCTACTGATCTATGTATTATTAAGCTTATGAAACCAAATAAAACCCAAGTTTATTGATGATGAATGGAGTGTATTTTGGTGTACATGTCCAAGGCATTGTTTTTTCACATTGAGTCCAAAAGCATATTAAAAGACATTCAAACAGTTATACACACCTACTGACATCTGTTAAAAACAGTCTGTGTGAAACATTGCCACTTGTCATATTGAAAATAAAACTTGGATGTTCCATTAATGCTTCTTAAACTTCAAATTCTGCAAAACCACAGACAAGGTATCGCAAATTCTTGGACAAAACTTTACACTAAATGGTGACCTAAGTAAAAGGTCGCTTTGCGGTACTTTTCAAGAGAGAGAAAAGCAGAATGCATTGTTTGAAACAAAAATGACATTATATGCTAGTCATGTAGTCATCGTAAAACACATAGCTGGACGATGTAATCACCAACATAATTATAGCAAATTAATACATCATGAAATATGCAATTCATTCTTTAAATGTTGACTTATTGTTTTTATAAACAGGCCCTTATATAATCGGCCCTTGGTGAAACAACAACATCCAAGCTTCTTTGACAGGATGCATGCATGATGTCGGTGAACTCGGCAATGATTATGATTCGAGTGTCAGACATATATCCATGCATAGACCATCTTGAATCCGATTCCAATGAACCAGACAATCAGCAGTAAGTAACATTATGCATTGTCATGTCCAAAGGTCACATC